TGGTGTGATAAACATGTATGGGTCCAAGCCAGACTAGATTCTATTGTCACCTTATGCTGCAGTTTGGATTTTTTTTTATACTCAGAGTTTGTATAAGAATTTTCATAGTGAGAAAACTATGTGGAAATGGACATTCTACAATGCTTTTAAAGGAAAAGATTATGTATACCCTGCCACTCCGTCTTCTATTTGCAAAAAAAACCCCAAATAAGCAAAACAACCCCCACCCAAGACCTCCTCTTTTTAAATCATGCAAACATACAATTTTTTGTGATGTCACATTTTTATTTATAATTATGGCTCCTTAGGATGGGAACTATGTTTTCAGTTTCATTTTAGCGGGCACTATAGATAACACTTGGCCACGTCTAGATGAGTGGTAGACTGCACAGTTGCTACTTCACAGTCATTTAGTACTTGCTTATACAAAAATCGTGCTGTGATGGTACTGCACATAATGCCAGCTACTGCATGGTCTTTAGTACTTGCTTATGCATGAGCAAGTCCTGGATGACTGTGCAGTAACTGGCATTACTGTGCAGTACCATTGCCACGTTTTTTTTTCCCATGCTACTGCTCAGTAGCAACAAGCTTGTTGCTACTGCACAGTAGCGTCACCACATGGTTAGTGTCAGGCAACACTGCTAAGCGGTAGCAATAAGTTACTGAGCAGTAATTCATTGCTACTGTGCAGTACCATCTCTTGTAGATGCACCCACTGAGCCATAATAACACAAGCCATTCTATATGGTTCCTTCTCAAACCCTAAGAAACTTCCTAACACCCAAAGATTTCATATTTTATACTTATAATTAACAACTATAAATGGCAACTAACTGTGCAGGCTGGGAGCGACCCGAACCCTTTTTCGTGCTGCACGCGGGCTGTGGCCAGCAGCCCGGGCACGCCGGGTTGGAGAGGGAAGGCCATCGAGCTGGAATTAGGCACAAACGCATAGCGGTAGTTTAAAAGATTGTTTACTTACACCGAGATGGCAGTGGTGCAGGCTGAAAACTTGCTTAAGTTGCGGTTACAGACAGGAAAGAAGAGAGGCAGACAAGAGTTCTAGACTCGTGAACTCTAGCCCAATCCGGCTGAAGGCTCTGAACACGCGAGCCCGTCGTCTCAACCGAAGAAAATACTTGTCCGAAAGAGCTCTGAATAAACTCACACGAAGTTTGCTAGGCTCTGTGGGTCCTTCTGCTCACTCATTCACACGAAGTTTGCTAGGCTTCGTGGGTCCAGTTCTTTTGCGCACGGGAAGGGATACGTCTGGATTGCACTCGGCGACGGGGAGAGGCTAGAGGTTGATCAGACCTCTGTTGCCTGATTTAAATGCACTGGGTCCGTAAGGATCCGCAGCGCTTGGAGATCTTCACACAGCGTGAAGTCTCCTCCTCCCTTGTTCATGGAGTCCTCCAACTTGGGCGGAAACCACTCAAGCCTTTTATACGGCTAGCAAGCCAATCACTAGCCGCCACGTGTGAATAATTTAGAACTGGCCAATAATGGGACTCGAATTAGCATACAAATGGCGGGAACTCTTTGCAACGAGCATTTCTGTGCTGCAACAAAGAAATGCACCCTGCAAAGAAAGCTTCAAATTGGCGGGAAATTCTCCCTTGCACCGGGGTTCTCTTTTGCAGCAGAAAACTCCACCATGCAAGGAAGCTGCAATTTAGCGGGGACAATTTAGCAGTGCCGAAGCACACAAAAACAAAAATCACACCCTTTGGGTTGTGACACTAACTAATAGATAAAATAAACAAGTACTAGGTACACTTGCTACTTCTCCCTCCCATGGTAACTCAGAAAAATTGCAAGCAGCGTTAGATGAACACAGACAAGCAGAAGCAACAAACTGGAGTTCTGAAGGGTGTCACTGAGGACCTCATACTTGGAGGTAAAGGGACTTGGAGAGTTACATATTTGGTCTTTTCTTGTTTGGTTGATTGCTTTCATGATAGCTGTGAGGTTAAGGTTTGGGGGCCCTAGATAGCTCATGTGATAGAGTAAGAGAGGTTTGTTTGTTTATGTCTCTGTGAAGAGCATGTGGCTTGGCCCCTTGGGTCTTTAATTAAGCCCAGCATTTGAATTTTCTGAGTAATTAATCCCTCCCTGTCAGAAAGAGGATGAGACTAAATGGGATGCAATATAAAGGCAAACTGTGGAGCAGGTAAACAAGAGCAGCAACTGGGGATCTTTCACAGGGGTTTGGAAAGGGAGTGTGAGTGCTTTATTCCTTACATTTTCTAGTTCTACACTTGGCACTGTGATTGTCAGCAATGGTCCAGTGGCTGTGACCTGCAAGAGAAGATCATAGCTCCACTGTCTCCATGCCAAGCATAGGAATATCACTAACAAGCACTGTGGCTGCTCAGTATAAACCAAAGCAGTGCAGTCGGTTTAAAGTGGTCCTGAGAATATGTTCCAATACTGTTCTCAGCTTTCACTGTCTTGGGTGTTTCTAGGTGTGTACTCAGGGCCACCTTAAGTGCCTATATTGCCAAGGTCCTAGACTTCAGTGTTTGTACAGTGAGAGGAATTAGGGGTGTGCAAAGCGGGCCCTATTTGATTTGGATTCAGATTCGGCCTGAATCAGGGACAGTGATTCAGTTCATTGATTTGGATCACTGTTCCTGATTCAATTAGTATGAATCCGAAGATTTGATGCTGATTTGGAGAATCAGTGATTCGGACACAGATGCAGCTTTAAAAGTGTTTTCTGCTTACCCTGAGGTAGCAGGAGTGGCTTGTGAACTCTGATGCTGGGGCACATGGAGCATCCCACAGGAGTGTGGGGGGGCCCTCCATGTGCTTGGCAGCAAAGTACTTCCGGTCCACTTCTGGGTCTGCCAGGGAATATGCAGGGGGGCCTCCTGTGCCCCTCCATGGCTCAGCAATTGACTGCAGGGGGGACCCTGGATGCCCCCCCTCCCCCCCAAGACCCAGGAGGCACCAGTCACTGAGCCGGGAGGATGTAGGGGGACCCACAGCATGCTCCCCAGCAGACCCAGAAGTGTACCGGAAGTGCTTGTGGTCCACTTCTGGGTCTGCTGCCAAGCATGCTGGGGAGCTCCTCATGCTTCTGTAGGATGTACCCCATGCATCACAGCACTCACGAGACCCTGCTACCTAGAGGTAGCAGAAAAAACATTTAAAGCTGTCTCCATGTTCAAATCTCCAAATCTTTCCAAATCTCTATGATTTGATTCTGAGAGATTAAAGAGCCCTCTGACTTGATTTGGATTTAGAGATTTGGTCACTGAATTTGGTCAAATGTCCACTAAATCGAATCAGGGACCGAAGCTTCACACAGCCCTCAGAGGAATGGGTGAGATGTTCTTCGTATGCAGTGGTCCCAGGCTCAGCATAGTGATAATAATTTGCTTAGGTTGTTAGCTACATCCTATAGCAGGGGTGTCCAACCTTTTTTGAATGTGGGGCCGGATCATGAACTTTTTATCACCCAGTGGGCCAGCGAGCCATATTCAAAGACCTCACAGGAAGCGGTATCACATCACCCCCTCAAAACAAAAGTACAGTGTTTACTTTCGTTTCTCATTGCAGCACCTCGGGTCTCAGAAAACAGCTTGGAGGGCCGCATGTTGGACAAGCCTGTCCTACAGGAATAAAAATTACTCCATGTTCTTTATTTCTTAATACCAATTCAACAGCCCTTCTTGTTTGCAGCATTTTATCCAGAACAAAGAAGCAAACACCAAGTTAAAAAGCTTCAAATAAATATCAGCTTTTAAAATAAAAAGAGCTGGCACTATTCATAGTTTGTGCACTGCATGCATTTCCCCTCATAATATGAATGTTTCATACACAACATGTAGCTTGTGAAATATAGATTAGAAAAATAATACCAGAGAAAAATGTTGCAATTCAGATGGGTGCATATGTAACTTACTTCAGCTGAGATTAGGAATGAATTCAGGTCCACACATTTTACAAATGGATGGAGTTTCTGAACATCAAGGCAATATTCTGTAGAACATTCAGTCCCTGCCAACAGGTTCATCAAATGCTATTGGCATCCACTCTAATGAGAAGTGCTCATTTGCTTTTCTAGCAGAAGAGGTTAAGATGACAATCCTTACCTTAAGCAGCAAACTGTGCAAGGCAAAAATGATAATCAAAAACAAAGGGATACTGGCAGTGAAGAAGCAGACACTCTTTACCAGGAACACTCTAAAGGCTTTCCTTATTTTTTAACACTAAAGAAGGGGGCCAGACTTGAGGAATTGACAAACATGCGTGTCAGTTTGCCATCAATGAAAACACACTTCTCCTGCTGCGCCTGCCCTGCTTCTAAGTCTTTGCATTTCTCTGAATTGATGGATTTGGTTTCCCCCCCCCCCCTTCTCCTTTTCTTTTGCAGCAAAGAATGGAAAAATATTCTTTTCTTTTTATAAAAGAAAAAGTTGGCAAGTGATTGCCTGCTTGAGCTTTGTTGTTGGGATGTGAAGAACTTGACATGACTAAATGACAGAAACAAAATAGCAGTTCTGAGCCACATATTAAAGACTTAAAACACTTATTTTCAGTTGCAAGAAAACCTATTAAATCAGACCATGGCTTTTATAGCTGAAGGGCTTGAAGAATGGAAAGGATGTGAACACTTGCAAGAAAAGGATATTTTATTTGCTGCTTCCAAAGCAGACACAAGCCCCTACTGAGCTCTGCCCATATTTATCCTTTATAGTTCATTGCACTGTGTTTGAGAGTGTCATTTTTGTTATAAAAAAATATTCAGCATATGCACACTTTAAATCATATTACTAAATGCAGTTCTAAAAACTACCCCTGCAGGTAAGGATACTTTGATTTTAACACTTTATTGTTTTAATACAAAAATGGAGGGATTAGCAAGAGCTTTGCAGGGTCCCCCCCCTGCCCCCCTCCACTTTCTCTAGGCTCTCAACTCTC